CCCCCCCGGGGGGGGGGGGGGGGGGGGGGAATTTCTGAAATGATCACTGAGCCCGAGGTACAACTGAATCTATTATGAAGGTGTCTAAATAATAATTTTGTAACAAATTTTTGACGAGGGGGTTTGGAGGTGGGGAGGGGGGATTAAAATCGGTCAAAATTGAGTGATAATATTTTTGGATCGCCCCATAGAAAGTTACAGTACAAAATGATCCAAGTACGTATTTGCATTGCAGCCTGTCATGCATATAGACATAAAGAAAGACACGGACGTTAAGATATGAATGAAGTGCTTATTGATGCATCAACTTAATTTCAAGCATCTGATACTATTAATTCAAAACAACATGTCAACATATAAAAGAATAAAAATGAATCTTGCACCGGTCCCTGGTCAAATTTCGAGACTTTTTCACCGGTCGGCCAAACTTAAAAGTTTGGGAACCACTTGTCTACATGACTACATGCCCTCAATTTTGCGAATTCTCCGGTGCATGATTTATTTTTATTCTTTCATTTCTATTTGGCAATAATAAATATTTATGTTATGGGGACCGGCAGCGTTAGGCATGCGGACCGGTGAAGGTCCACGGACCGCCATTTGGGGACCACTGATGTAGACGATTATATTACAGCATAAAACTCTGCCGCGTGATTCTAGACTGGGTATTCCCGAAAAAGATTATCAAAGAAACTCGTTCTGAAATATGATAAACATCCGCTTGAAACTTAGACAGATAAGGAAAGTACATAATTGGGGGCGTGTTTAACCAAATATTCGAATTTTTTTTTTTTTTGCGGGAGGGGGGAGGTGAGGGGAGGTGGGGGATGGGTTTTGGTCCTTTTTTTAAAAAATTTGTTGGCGTGGGTTTTTTTTTCGGTGGATTTTTGTATTCATGACTGGGGGCGTGTTTAACAAAATATTCGAATTTTTTTTTTTTTTGCGGGAGGGGGGAGGTGAGGGGAGGTGGGGGATGGGTTTTGGTCCTTTTTTTAAAAAATTTGTTGGCTTGGGTTTTTTTTTCGGTGGATTTTTGTATTCATGACATTTACCTGCCAAGTTTTCTTCTTCACGAAAAGTCTGAGTAAATATTTAAACAAGTTTAAGTATTTCAGTTGCCTTGAGATGCAGGCTACAATTTTTTTTTTATTGTCGGACTATAATTTGTTGCTCTTTAGCACGACGTATTCAGGCCAAAGAATAGAATGGATTGTCTCGGTAAAACGTTATAAAATTAGAGCATAAAATAAATGAAAATGAATGGTACCCAAAATATAAGGTATCTTTGCAAAAAATTTCTTTCTACTCGCAAAGTCACTTGTGGGGAGGGGGGGTCGTCAGTTTGTAGCATAATTTTGTGTTGTTATACATAGCCCTTGCGTTCGGTCGATTCAGTCTTCCTCGTGCTCACCTGTAAGGTCGCATCTGAATTGATCACACAGAGCTACGTCTTGTTTAGACGGGGGCGAAGGATGTTTTGGGGAGCTGAGGTGGTGAGTGATGTGGTGGTGGGGGGGGGGAGAGAGAGAGAAAAGATGAGTTCTAAAAAAAACAACAAACGTACCCCGTTTATTCCCCCCATCTGAACGCATTTACCAGCGTGCTCTCCCATTAGTCACAAATCTTAATGATAACTAAAAAGTCCCTGTTATGACATAAGGAGTTCACTGCAGAGGCATAGCGAGGGGGTGGCAGGGGGGGGACAGATGTCCCCGGGCGCAAGTTAGTTAGGGGCGCCAAAATGTGCTTTTATATTATATTATTGGTAAAAATAATGGGTTTGAGAGTTGAAAAAAAGAAAAAGGGGCGCTTTAAAATGGATCTTGTCCCCGGGCGCGAATCTTGTCCCCGGGTGCCAAACACCCTCGCTACGCCTCTGGTTCACTGAATGGCTTTTTTTTTTTTTTTTTTTACACTAGTGAAATAATGTAATGTAGCTGTCTCGTGTTTTTTTTTTTTTTTTTTTTTTTTTTTTTTTTTTTTTTTTTTTTTTTTTTACACTAGTGAAATAATGTAATGTAGCTGTCTCGTGTTTAAATTGTTGTAGTTGAGAAGTGTGGACTTTATTAAATATGTATTTATTTATGTGATGAAAATGTATATGTTCAATGCAATGCACAAAAAAAATATATTTAAATTTGTTTGGATCAATAAAAGAATCTTATCTTATCTTATAACCGCGGTTGTCAACCTGTGGGTCGCGACCCCTTTGGAGGTTGCATAGCCCTTTCCAAGGGGTCGCCAAAGACCATCTGAAAACACATGTACTTACAGTTATAAAGTAAAATGAAAATAATTGTGCGGCTGGGGGTCACCACGACATGAGAAACTCTATTAAAGGGTCGCGGCATTAGGAAGGTTGGGA